AAGGAAAAAAAAAAAAAAAAAAAAAAGATTAGGAAAAGAAAACGCTTGGAGCCGACATGAAGAGGACCAGGGTGGTACGTGAGACACTTGCCAACGATTGCTTTCTGTTTCTGCTTTTGTTTTTCAAAGAAAGACCAGCGAGTTGAAGCAACATGATGATGATGACGAAGAGTATAATCGCACTGACCTATCGGCACTATCAATGTGAATACCATATGCTGTCAGCTTCTCCTTCAGTTCTCCCAACGAATTGAACTGCGTAAAACTGTACCAAAGCCAAAAAATGAACAGATAGACGAGTTTCAAGTTTCAACTTCCAAAAAAAAAAAATGAAAAAAATTGAAAAAGGTTGCAATGGACGAGAAAAAACAAAACAAGGAAAATAAGTAAATAAGCAAAACCGCACAGACTCGGAAGAAAACAAAACCAGATGACAAGAAATGAAACCGGACTGAACTGAAATGGACCCCGACGACAATTCTGGTAAAAAAAAATGAAAAAAAAATGGACCCCGACGACATTTCTGCTGCGAAACTCTGGAAACTTGAACGCGCTATTGCTGCAGTTGTCCCAATTGTCCCAATTGCAGAAATTATAGCGCATATTCGAAGTCTCCCAGCAAAAATATCGTCGGGGTCCAAGTTTCGTTTCCAAAATACCACGTCCGTTGCAGCTTTAACGGTCCCCGGTTGTTTCACAGCAAAAGTATGTGCAGGGAAACTTCGAAAAAGCGCTATTTTTGCTACCGCTGGACCCTTACGACATTTCTGCTGCGAATTTGCGAAAGTCTGAAAACGTGCTATTTCTGCAATTGTCCCCTTAAAAGAAGATTAGACTGTGTAATATGCCTAATCATAATAATAGTCCTGAAAGTCGTGCTTTCCATTACGATTCCAGTGCTGAGCGAGCTCAAAGGCCCATCAGTTGCCATGACTCCAGTAGTGAACCAGCCCCAAAGACCATGAGTTTGCCGCGTCAGCTCATTCTCATTATTTATTCAACAGATGTGGTCAAAGACTCGAAGACTCAAAAGCTTTCCTGTTTTCACTACATTTGCCTTCTGTTCGTTACCTTTATCTCATCTATGTATGGTTGCATCACACTCAGCCGAAAGGCTTTCAAAATTGCCATCTGTGTTTAACGATTGTGTGCTTAACAATTGGAATCTGGACAGTACCACCATGTGCTTTCCCCTTCCCAATTAAAGACTCAGAGAGTCAGAGATACAAATTTTATCCCACTGCACAAAGGCCTGCACTATGCAGGTTCTTTCTACCTGTCCCTTATTAAGAGTAATTTTTGGGTCTCGGTAACCAATGAATATTTAAGAAGAAGAAACATCGGAAAAAAACTGGAAGTGTTTCATAACTTTCATTCCACAGGCTTCACGCAGCAGACACAGCAGAATTGCAGGGAAGAAGAAGACAAACAAGAAGAATGAAAATGTGTCACGTCGATTGAGCCTTGGAGAACGAGGAGGAGAAGGAGGAGGAGGAGGAGGTGAAGGAGGGGGACAACAAGAAGAACCTAAAGCGCTTGAAAAAAATTATCGACCTTTCGTCTTCTTCATTTTTTCCACACAGCTTTCCCTTACCAAATCTAAAGCTTCATGAGTCACGACAATCTAATTGCATGAAAAAAGAAGACAGAAGAGCTGCAATGGAAGCGTGTCAGTTTGTTGATCCTATCGAAGAGGAGGAGAAAGAGGAGAGGGGAAAAAAAAAAAAAAAAAACACTTTGAAAATCTTTCCGGAAAAAAAGACCTTTCCGCACACACCTTTCCATTCCACCCTTTCTTATGACGATCTTGTACTGGCTTGCGGTCCCAGTCAAGGTTCTCGTGAGTATCACCCACTCTTCACCACCTCGGTCAGCAGACTCAGCACCCTCTTGTGCCAAAGACTGTAACGTAACGGAGACCTGCAAGCACAGAGTGCAACGTAACGGAATCCTTTGTCAGATTCAGCAATATATTGTCATATAGGGTTAATTTCAAAAATATTGCTGTTTCGAAGTTTGGCAGCAAAAATGTCGTCCGTTCGAAGTTTCCTTTGCAAAAATAGAGGTTTCGTTGCAGCTTTATCGGGTTCCCGTAGTTTGCCAGCAAAATTACAGGGGTTTGCCAAGTTTCACAGCAAAGGACCCCTAGGCCCCTGGCCTCAGGGACTCAGGGACTCAGCGTTTCTCCCTCAGGCACTCAACTTTCTCTTTTTTTTTTTCCGCGGGCGTGTCCGAGGCATCTCGGCCGTGGCCACGCCCAAGATGCCTCGGCCACGTTTCTTGTTTTTTTTTTTTTTTTTTTTTTTTTTTTTTTTGCGGCCGTGGGCACGCCCAGATGCGTCGGCCATGGCCCTCCCCCACAAAAACAACAACAACAACAACACTGAGTGCCTGAGGTGGTACTGATGGTTGAATCATAGTGAGACAAACATTCACAAAGTGTACGATACACGATGCACGTATGCACACAGTCACCGTAGTGACACGTAGACACAGTATAGTAAAATAACCCGTAGGTTTCCTCTTCGCGAACCAACACACCCAAGAACCACCATCATACCACCAACCACCCTTGGTGGCGGTCCGCCGTCGTCACAGTCGCCCATCACGGAAGGAACCCAAGAGGTCAAACTAAACTGATTGCTACGTACTTATAGGACCACAAAACATACCGGTTAGGCCTTCTCCGGGTGGATGAGGGCTAACCCTTCTGCTCAAATCAAAAAATAAGGGAAAAAGTCGCAGCCCAAGGGCCCGTGGGTCCGGAAGCTTCTTACAAACTTCAGGCTGAATCTGACAAAGTCCTAACGTCTGCTGACCCTTGCTAGACTCTATCGCTGACTACTACCCGGACGAATACAGGCAAATTGAAACGCACCTCCTACTCAACTGAAGTACAAAGGGACAAACAAAACAAACCATTCCCTAGTAGGCCTGCGCTAAGATGACCCCAAAGCACGTCTTACTGAGTGCCTGAGGCCAGAACGCTGAGTCCCTGAGTCCCTGAGGCCAGAGGCCTAGGGGTCCTTTGCTGTGAAACTGGGCAAAACGCGGTATTTTTGCTGGCAAAGTATGGGAACCCGATAAAGCGGCAACGAAGCCTCTATTTTTGGAAAGGAAACTTCGAACGCACGACATTTTTGCTGCCAAACTTGGAAGGAGCAATATTTTTGCTATTAATCCATATATATATAATCAAACAGAGCTGCCCGGTAAACCGTAGGCAGAGAGGGAGGAAGAAGAGGACAACAAACGAGGGGCTGTGACAAACTGTTTCGTCAGAGTTTTTTTTCGTAAATGGCCTCCAGACTAGTCTGGAAGGCCTGTTAAAAATTCACGTAAGCTGCTTACGTGTGCTCAGTCCACGGTATTCTTTAGTAGTACGCCCACTGAGCTGGGTTCGTCAGAGTTTCACGGACTCATCAGGAGGCTGAACCCTCAACAGTCTGCAGAATCCCCTACCTGATTACACTGTAAGTGTATAGCTGCCCGATAAAAACCATGGCAAACGGCAAAAGAACCTGCGTTATTCCCACTTTAGGTGAAATTCAGTCCTTCGGGACATCCGTTAACATTGGAACGATACAGAGAAAGGAGATTAGCATGGCCCCTGTGCCAGGATGACACGCATAAATCGAGAAAGGGTCTCCCCACGGCGCAGGGTTTTTTTTTTTTTTTTTTTTTTCGCCGCAGGTTCTGCCGAGCGGGGGATTCTACTACTTTTCCCAACTTTGAAATCAGTAAGCCACTTCGAAAACCATAATCAGGCGCCAAGTCCCAGTAGCGGGGGATTAATCTTCCTCTCGACTCACTCGACTCTCTAGTATTTTTCAACGTGGCCAAGGTGCGGCCGTGAGATGTGCAGATCTGATGGCAGGAACCGGTGCGTGCCCGAAACCAAGTCGAATCCCCCGTTTTTTAAACTTAGCCCCGGCATGCATCATCCTCTGGACTTAATCTAATTATATTATTTAATTATTACAGTCGGACTTAGCCCCGGCATGCATGCTCTGGACTCCATCTATTTTTTACCATCAGAGCGGCCGTACCTCAGCCTGTGCTTTCCTTCCTCTGAGATTCCGCAGTTCTTCATTAATAAGAGCAGCAGCGTTCTTTGCACGCATTGTCCTTGTTGTGCCGCCAAATGCAAAAGCAATCGCCTCCCCAATTACCTATTATCATTATCAATTTATCACCATAATAATTGCAAAAGCACACGCACAAGAGGAATTCAAGGACAAATCGAACGACAGAAGAGATAGAGACACAAAAAGAACGACAACGAACGACTGAAAAAAAAAAAAAAAAAAAAAAAAAAAAAAAAAAAAAAAAAAAAAAAAAAAAAAAAAAAAAAAAAA